TATGGCCCAGTTTTCCAAATTAGGCCCAAACCCCTTACATGGGCCTTACCTTAAAGCCCATCAAAATATTCTAGTCTATATGCTTGTTCTTAGATGGCCCATCGGTAGCCCAATAGAAAGACCCAACTCAAGACCACACCAAATTAGGGTTTTCACATAAAATGATGGTTAGGTTTAAGTATTTCTTACTTAACCCATTAAGGACTTAATCCAATAAGTCCATCATTTTACTAGAGTGTGATTAGGTGTAATTCATACATCAATTCAAATGGCCCAAAACGCAGGTCCCGATAAGCCCACACCAAAAACCCAAAATTAGGGTTGTCTAACCCTAATTAGGGGTTCCAACCAAATCATGTTCTAGTTAATCCATTTGTTAAATTTTTAGGTTAATTAACTGTAAATTAAATCGGGCACCACCCACTACCACCTTGGGTAGTGGTGGTCAATGGTGGCTCACGGCGGCGGCCACCACCTCACGATGGTGGTGACGAATTTCCTTAATCATTCCGATCAAAATACAATATTACAACGTAATATCCAAATGAATGCACACTCACAAATAAGACATACATACACACCCGACCACCCTTGTGGCAGCAAGTGGTGGTTGGAGGTGGCAGCCACCAACTTACGGTGGTGGTGGATATTTCGTGAATTTTGGCCAAACAAAACACACACATGCTTCTTGGTCGTAACACAAATCCAGCCACCCACCTGGTGGAGTACAGAGGTGGCGATGGCACGAGATCGCAGTGGCTAACAGTGGCAGATGTGGTGGTTTTCCTCGAACTTTTCTATCCAGCAAGCACCCATCTACACATCACGGTGGAGTAGCAACACACAAATATGAACTGCACCTCTGACTGAGCTATCTACGAGAAACCGGCGTCTACTTTGTCTTCAACAGAAACGAGTGCTTCTGGTTTCACTTACATCTCCGACAACCATTAGATCGGTATCGGTGGTTCTTTTGGTTTCACTTACGTCTCCGGCAACCACGTCATGATGGCGCTCATCGGCGAGGCAACAAGCGGCAGCCTTGTCTGATCGGAAGAACAAGCATGGTGGCAGCTGAAAATCGAAGGAAGGAAGGTGATGGCCGATTTTTAGGGGTTATAAGGTGGCGGTTGTGCATTCATTTAGGGTTAGGGTTATGTAAGGTTATATATATATATATATATATATATATATATATATATATATATATATATATATATTGAGGGTGACGGGTTTAACCCATGTCCATATTTAAACATATGCAAATATTACATGTTTGGTCCCTCCCCATACGAAATCTTTTCAACTTAAGTCCTAATAATTACCATGCAACCCCTCTCTTCAAGATCGTTTTCAATTCAAATCCAAAATTTACACTTTAGCCCATGCCTCCAAGAATCTTTTTCATAATAAGTCCATAATTTACTAAACAAACCCTAACTTCCGAAATCCTTTTCAAATTACATCCATAATTTATTAAACAGCCCTCAACCTTCAAAATTCTTTACAAACTAATCTGAAAACTACATTTTGACCCCCGAAATTCGAAATTATATCATTTGGCTCCCCAAAACCAACACCCCGCTAATTATTATGGATTTAGAGCTATAATAAAATATATTATACATCTAGGGGTTTTAGAATTTATTACTTATTTACTCATTTTATTTAATTTAAGATAGAGTGTTACTAACATCTTGGTGATCTCCGTTACCGACTTAGTCCCCTGTCTCATATCCAAGTACTCCTGGGTCAACCTCTCACGCTCCTCCAATGGAACATATCTAGAATAGAACATCTCATAGATCTGCTTCCAAGTCACATCAACTTTCTGCTCAGAAGAATACGAGCTAGTAACAAGTCTCCACCAATCCTTCGCTCCGGACTGTAGAAGGTTTAGAGCGCACTTGAATTCTGGTGAATTAGGTATGAGCAAGTAAAGAAACATCCCTCGATTTCTAACAGCTACCTCATGTCTATGTTCAGATCCTGAACTCCATCAAATGTCGGGGGCTTCGTATTGTCGAAGTCCCGGTACAAAAAGGTCCTCTGAGCACCAATCCTGGTAACAACAATGGTTGCGGTGGCTGCAGCAGCAGCAACATCAGACAATGCAGTGTATTACTTATCAAAGTACTCCAACAAAGATGTATTAATAGTCCCAAACATCTCTGACATCTGTGTCCGAAAGAGGGAAACAACCTCCTACTGAAGGATCTCCCTAACCTGATCCTCAAACAAAGCTAGCTTATCCTGACTACTAGCTCCCAATCCCGATCCGGATGTTGTCTCAAATCGTCTTATCGACACCATACTGAAAATAATCCAGAGCGATATCAAGATAAAATGTATATCATACTAGGGAACCAACTTCCAATAAATCCCTAATTGTTGTGACTTTTCTCAAAGGATCATCACAACAACCCTAACCAAACATGCTAGCATACACATACACTTTATCCTCACTATCTAGAGGAAAGCTACAAATTACGCGACTAGTCGTCAGACCCCACACAACTCATCCATGAAACTTTCACCAACCCTGCAACACTCGTGTATGCTAATCATACATAACACTAGACCCTATAGACATTCGAATAGCTGATTCCGCCCTAATAAGATCATCAAAGAAGAGCGGTAAATAAGGCCGAATCAAACATTCTCAGGCTATAGAATCTTAGTCATGTATAATTGTGATGTATACACTAAGAAACTACAGTAATGATGTTAATTCCATATAAAGAAGAATGCCTAGGCTACCAGGCATCATAAAATCAGGCAATTTTATCATCAAATTCCTGAAGATCCCTAGCCTATCACTAGCATGTTGTTCTGATATATCACAAGATCAATAACAGTGTGGAAATTTGGGGTTTACGTACTGGATATGGTTGTTCATACACATCACATCCTCCTTGATTATTTTGAAAACAATTTGAAAATCATTTTTAAATTTTTTTCCTGGATTCACACGAGTGTTCCTCCAATTACTCAAATAAAGGCTCTGATACCAACTTGTAACACTCATAAAAATCACAAGGAATTTACATTTTTTAAAACAACCAAAATTCATAAATTGTTTAGAATCATGGTTTTTAAAACATTTCAACTATAAAAGTCTCCTAAAATCAGAAGTCATAAAATAAGAGGATGTGTACGGTAATGCCTTCGCCTTCCCGTGGTCATCCGAAGTACCTGAAAGATAACCTAAAACTGTAAGCCAACGCTTAGTGAGCTTCCCTGAAGTACCAACATATAAAGTAATCATAATAATAAATAACATGCAAACAGACCTTTCATCCTGACTAGAACGCCGCACCGGCCTATAAGCTATCCGGTACGCTTACATAACATTCAGCATGACTGGTACACCTCACTGGGCCTTTAGCTTGTCTGGAACATTCTTCGGGCCTTCGACCTGACTGGTACCCCCCTCGTGTATGCCGTCCATCCAGGACGACCTAGGTCTCTTGGCCTAGATTACACTGGTTCGCCTCAACCCAAACACACATAACCATGTCGACATATTCATAACATATAAGCATACATATAACCAGTCAACAGACAACAACATAGATCTTACAGATCACTAAGCAGAGCATCATCTTATATACTAGGATACATATCTAACAGATCACTACAACACACCACGTACTATACCAGGATATCAAATCCAATGGGTCGGCCTTGGTGCCTTCGACCCATAACTACAATGAGGAAAACTCACCTCACAAACTAAATAGTAGTTGATGAGGTCCCGAATTTGAATGTCAACACAAACTGTCACTAATGCAACCACATGACCAATCATAATCAAAATCCCATAATACCCAAAATACCCTGAAGTCAAACTTGGTCAAAGTCAAATTCAAACTATTCAATCCCACTGAGTCAAACCAATCGAGTCAACTCAGCCGAGTCACCTCAGAATGAGTACGTTGGGCGTACTCCGAATGTACGTTGGGCGCACTCGCCTCGTCGCATGTTAACAACCATCGGGGTGGTTGAACTCGTATGCAGGGTGTACTCCGAGCATGCGGGGCATACTCCCAGAAGATTGAAAACCCATTAAATGCTTAATGGCTTAAGTACTTATGTCCGTATTTCAAATCCATGGAAAAAATACACTTAAGAGTCATAACGTTTGCAACCTTATGACTTTGCATGCCCATTAAGTACTTTCCTCAACTTCTTAATCGATTAGGACATTCTACAAGATGCATGGAACAAAAAAAAACCATTTGACACTCATTTTTATGACTCAAGACCCTCCTAAGGGTCTGAAAGGACAGTTGAATGGGTCAAGACATGCTTTGCTCATGAAACACCGCATTTGGGACAAAAAGAACCTAAAATTAAACCCAAAACAAGATATACAAGAAACTACATCAAGTTTAGAACTTGATACCTCAAAATGGTGCCAAAAGGTGGTGTGATCCTAGATCTAGAGAGCTTCACTCCTTCAAGGTGGTCTCGTCTTCCTTACTTCTTCTTCAAGAGCACCAAAACACACACACAAGCTTTAAAATGGCTCCTTAAGATGATACTAGGGTTGTAAACACATATGAGAGGATTGGAGGCAGTTGAAGTTAAGGAAATTAGGCCATAAGAGTGATTAAATATGAGCCAAACCCTAAAGATTAGGGTTTCCTCATCTCCCAAGTACACCCCACGTATACTGATGTACGCCCAATGTACTAGGGCACGCCCTAGTACGCTCAGCATACACATGTACGCATGACATACTCCCCCAAGGACAATATTATGAAAATGCCACTAAGGCCCTTTTGCATACATTTCTTGAACTTTGGGACCAAAATGCAATATAAATGAATTAAAGGGTTAAAACTAGAAGTACCTCACATCGGGATTTTACACACATTGATTCGTTGCTTTATCGTTACCAGTTTTTACAACCTCTACAAACGATACGTGTTTACCAGTAGTATCCATACCAATAACTATTTTGAGTACATTATACATGCCATGCATGCTTAAAGCTACAGGGGGAAGGGGCTCGTTTTTGCAGTTGACATCACACTTCTAAGAAATCTTGTCTCGTTCACCTTGAGAATACACTTACGACATTTCACATTGCCAGTTTTCATTTCCAACTCCTCAATGTACTTTATCCCTTTGAACCTTATGAATGCAAAGTTTGAGCCACTAATGTCCTTCTTCCTTGCAATATACACATCAATTACTTTGCCAAACTCCATAAAAATATCCCAAACATCCTTGTAGTTAAACCCATCCGAGATGTTTGAAACATAGAGAGTCGTTATGGCTCTGTTTGTGATAGACCTTCTTCGCCGGACTTTGATCCATCCCTCAACATCGAGACTCTTAAGCTTCTCCATCAGGTGTCTTCATTCGAAACCTCTATATCTCTCCCTTTTGGATATTTCATTACTTTAATAGAACTACTAAGGGACTTATCAAACAATGTTTAATATTTTCCAAAAATTGTTTCTCTTTCATATGTGGCATTACATGATCGGTCTTGACACTATTTATTTGGACCATTATATATAAGGCATTTTGTTTTTAAATCTCTTTAAGCCTAAAATTTTGTTTTGACAATATAAAGTTTCTTTTTTTTTTATTATGAATGATTTTGAAGATCTATTCAAAAAAGAAAATTCAAAAGATTTTTTTGGTTAGTGCTTAGAAATGAATATCACAAAGTTAATAAAAATCGTTTGACGTTCGAATTAAAAATTTACCTCCAATATAGGGCTGGAGGATCATACTTGTCACAGTCCACCTAAGCGTTATATAAGATTTGCCATGTTGCTTTAAAAAAATTTCATTTACAATGTATGGGTTCTCAGACTTGTCATGCTATTTTTTTTTTTTTTGTAAACTAATTATATTAAAAATAATTAATTTAAAAAAATTATTTTAAAATATTAAAAGGAATAAATCAAAATAGCAATTTTTATAAAGTTAAAGACTAAATAAGGAATAAGGATAATGATATTTATAGTTGATGATTGAAGGTTTAAATTTGAAATTTTGAAAAAATGATTATATTTTTTAAAAAGAATATTTTTTTGAAAATATGTTATTTTTTGAAAATAAAAATTTGATTAAATGGTAAAAAAAAAAAAAAAAAAAATAAATGCAAAAGCTTTCTCTCTCATAGGTAGAAATCCACAAAGTTGGATTGTCGAACCGAGGTCACCGAGGACTTGGCCCATTGTTTGACGAGGGGTGCTGAACCCCACTTTGTCGGATCTAAGAGACAAAACTTTTACATCTCATATTGACGAGACATATTTATTTAAAATTATGATTTTCCTAAAATTATAAATAATGTATGTGTATCAAATTTTGAAGTCCTGAACAAGATTTCGCTATACAACTTTTTTTTTTTCGAAACTAAAGAGTTTGTCATTTCAGGTAATTGATGATTACATGAAGAATTTTTTTAACAGAAATCAAATATTATATTATATTATTTTTCCTATTTACCTTCTCGTTCATTAGATTTAAACAAAAAAAAAGCATAATGATTAGGGCTATTTGTTTTGTCCTTTTCTTATATAACAAATGATTCAACTAATTTACCATTTTAACCAAATACAGGAACCAAAAAACTCTTCACCTGCATCATTAACATTCAGTGTGGACCAAGTTGAAATCTACTGAAACTACAGGGGCCTAAACAGTACTTTCTGCATTTAAAGTAATAAACAAAGTGGTCAAAGAACCTATGAAAACGAATGGTCTCACGAGTGGAGACTGATGTTCAGGATCATCCAAATATAGAAACCACGAGGAACTGAACATGCATGCATTGATTACTTGTACAATCCACGTGAGCTTTTGTCTATGCATTGATTACTTATTCACTTAGTCAAGACTTTAAATTTATATAATATGATGATTTTTAAGGATAATCAATTTTATTCTCTCTATATAATTAGATACTGAAAAGTTAAATTGTTTTTGTACATGTTTTATATTAAATTTTTTAGTATGTCAAAAATATCAATATAATCGATAATTATAATTCTTGTTGCTTTGACATCATGTATTGTTTATGAATCATTTGATAGTATAATGTATGATGTTTGTTATATATTTAATTATTAATATAATTTTTATATGATTTACTATTAAAATTTTTTATTTGTTTAAATTATTAACTTTTTGTAGGATGATATACTAGTTTGATATAATTGAAATCATCTTTGAATGTAAGAAATAATAACATGAAAGAGTAAATAATTTTCTGATTTAATTAGAGTAAAAAAGCTTGATTACAACTATTGAGTGTAATACCTCGTAAAATGCTTTTACTCAACGTTCCAATTAACATCTTTATTTTTATAAGTTGACAAAAATTGAATCAGTTAGAAAATAACGTTACGACATCTAGGCAGTCACAAGCTGTAAAATAGTTACACAACATTTACTTGGAAACCTAAGGTGTACAAAACTCCGAAACCAATCATACAATCAGAAGAGACTTCGTTGAGACCTAACACTTTTTCTATTAAAAATTACTATTCTTTAAAAATAGTTTTACATCTAGAAGATATTCCGCATTTTTTTCTGAACCAATGTCATAGTTTCCATCCAAGTTGTAACAGCCACTGGCCGGTTCAATTTCAGATTTTGCATTGTAAATTTTATTCTCCATTTCTTGAAATTTGATTTGCTAATGTACTTTTATATCCAAATACTAAAAAAATGTAAAAAAAAAAAAAAAAAAAAAAAAAAAAAAATTAAAAAATAGTTAATTTTTTTTTTTTTAAAACAGATGAGATTTGATTGTTCACTACGGTTATGAAAAAATATATGTACATATTTTAAAAAAAAGTTTAATAGATGTAAAAAATTATAAATAATTTGTAAAAGTTTAAAAAGCTACAAATTTGGCTGGTTGGAAAACTTTAATGATAATGGTATACAAAAAATAGTTTTATGTCTAAATATATACAACTCACCTTACATTATTCTATTAAGTCTTTCACAAGTCAAGTATAATGAAAAATCTGCAAAGACCTACAATAAAAGAAATATTGATATGTTTCTGAACACATTAAACAAGTTTTTTGGTTTATCCCATAAATAATTCAATGATCCAAGTATAGAAAATGAGAACTGCAAACAATATTGAATCAAATTTCTCTTTGATTAATTGGAAAATAACTCAAAACCAATCTTAAATACAATTTGTTTCTTATGATCCTAAACTCGATCTAAACATGTATTTATAGATTCTAATCTACCGACTTATAGAATAAGAATGGGAATCTTCGGGAACCGACTTGTCATAGTTTCCATAATCTTGATTGCTTGGTCTCTAAGACCTAGGATTCCAAGAATCACTTCCAAATCTCTAAGTCCTTCTAGAGGCATATCCGATCCCGATCAAGCTCCGTATTTCCTTGAACTTGGTTCGAGCTTGAGGTTTAGGAAGAATGTCATCATTTTGTTCTTCATCGGGAATGTACTCCAACTCCACTTATTCGTTTTCAACACAATTTCGAATAAAGTGAAACATTGTGTAAATATGTTTACTCCTTCCCTGAAAACAGGATTCTTCGTTAGTTCGATAGCCGACTTATTATCAACTCTTAGAACCACCTTCTCTTGCACTTTGTTCATGATTTCTGCCAGCAAATCTTGAAGCCATATTATATGACATACGGTTGCCGTTGCCGCCATGAACTTCGCCTCAGAAGATGATAAGGCAACGATATCTTGCTTTTGCGAACACCATGTTATCGGAGAGGACCCGTAATAGAAAATATGACCGGTTGTGCTTTTCCCGTCATCCAGATCAACATTGTGACTATTATCACTATAATCAATGAGTCGATTTTATCCCATCCTCACATACTTGATTGTGTATCCCATTGTTCCTCGTAAGTACCTTAGGATGTGGTTGATAGCGCCGCCATGGGATTCTCTACGACTTTGCATGTATCGAGTAACAACTCCAACCGCATATTCCATATCGGGTCTTGTTTGCAAAGGATATCTAAGGCATCCCACCACCTTTCGATATTGTGTCTGGTCAACTTTGGGTTCATCTTCGGCCTTTGACAATTTGTTTCCCGAATCAATTAGAATGTGGGTCGGATTGTAATCACCTAAAACGACTTCTTTTAGAATGTGTCGAGCATATGCTTCTTGGTTTATAGTAATCCCCAAGTCTTCTTATTTAACTTCAATGCCAAGGTAGCAAGTCAATTTTCCAAGACCCGACATTTCAAAATTCTTTGACATCTCCATCTTGAACCTTTCAATCATGCTCAAAATTGCACCTGTGACAAATAAGTCATCAACATCAATTGGTAAAACCAACAAATTAGCTCCTTCGTTTTTCTAGTACACCAATGGTTCTTTCATAAACTTTTGAAATTTTATGCTCTTCAAAATTCCATCAAGCTTTGTATTCCATGATTGACGTGCTTGTCTTAAACTATATAGAGCTTTTGTGAGGCGATACACTTTATGATCACTTATTTTTTTATATATCCTTCAGGTTGCGATACATAAACGGTTTCCTTTAATTCTCCATGCAAGAAAGAGGTTTTGACATCTATGTGGTGAAGCTCCCACCCATGAGTAGCGACTAAGGCTATAAGAAATCGGATAGTGTTGATTCGAGTTACCGAAGAAAATACTTCTTGAAAAACAATATCGGGTTGTTGCACGTAACCTTTAACAACCAACCTTGCCTTATATTTATTAATGGTGTCGTCCGCATTTTGCTTCAATTTGAACACCCACTTGAGTCCAATTGGCTTCACCCCCATTGGCTTGTTCATGAGAGTCCAAGTTTTATCTTGTTTATTGAATTAATTTCCGTATTTATGGGTTTGACCCAATCCAGTTCTTTCATCACCTCTTCAACTGATACTGGATTGTCATTGGTTGTTAGGAGAAGTTCTTTGAGATTATCAAGATCAAGCTCATAATCTTGAAATCATTTTGGAGGTACTCTTGGTCTCGAGGGACTTTGGTTTGCAATGCTTTGTTGAACATTATTGTTGACCGGACTTGGTTGTTCATTATCTTGTACTTCCGCTCCGTCTTTAAACTCGTGATCTGATTCATTCGGTTCAATTGGATCATTGTTTACATCGTTTCCTTTATTGTTGTTCGTATCATCTTTCTAATATGAATGAGCTCGATTCTTTATTGTCAGTTCCTGCTTCTTTAATCCAATCCTACCCTCTGGTTTCATCAAAAATAACGTCTCGACTTATGATTTCTTTTTGTGTTGTTGGGTTAAATAGCCGATAGGCTTTCGTACCTAGTTCAGAACCAAGATGTACTAGTGGCCTTGATCTTGCATCCATCTTCTTGAGATTTACCGGTTCAAATTTTGCATGTG